GGGAGGGGGCGGGGGGGGGCAGTTACAGCACCGACCCCGGCTCCGGCTCCGGCTACGGCTAGTCTGCATAATTAGTTAATATTATATCTATTCCTACACGACCAAGACGGATGGAGATGGCAAGGAGATACAGTGGTCTGGCAGCTACTTCAGATTTCATTCGTACGGTTGCCAACCTGAGCAGTGTCTGATCCTTATTCACTAAATGGCCTTAAAGGCAGATCGCAGTTAACTTTTAAAACGCCTTATTTCAAATTCTGTTAAGATTTAACACCATTACAGGTTATCAAGACCTCAGTTAGTGGCCCGCTAAATGGCCACTTAAAGTTAAGAGGTCGATCTTCCCATCATCTGCAATAATAACTTTCTGTTGCAGACCCGTGAATGAAACTACACTTCAAATATATGTTCCTCACCTCCAACAATTATTTTACAACAATTATTCTACTTCTTCTCCTTATCCTTTGCCGCAAGCAGAAACGCTGCAAACAAGAGGCATGGTATTAGTTTCACATAATGGACTGGATTGTACAACGCAGCAGCTACAATTTGATACTTACCACTAGTGGCACTCGCCCCCAGGAAGGAAAGGAGGCCGTTTTGAGCCTCCTTGTTTCCTGACAATAAAACTGCAATTGCAAAAAGCATGGTATCAGTTCTCATTGCTAGTAAGTAGTCATAAACTCTTTTTGAAGTACATGAATGAAGTGCATTTCTATCTTGTGACTGTGATAAGTTATGACCAACAGTTAATCGTCAATGTGTTACTTTACTTACCGAATAACAAACAGCAAAATAGAAATAAGAACGTGGTAGTTTGTTCAGGCCTGTAGAGACAGAGCCCAACAGCAGCTGCTGTCAGGCAAATGAGGATAAACATCATCCATGGGCCTAGTTTGTTGGTGTCATCGCTGGAAAGAGAAAGAAAGAGGTGTGTAAAATGCTTAGGAAATGAAATAAAATAAAATGAATTGGAAATTTCGATTCAGTATCAATTAAAAGACTCGCATGTTTCATTTTAACTCTCACTGCCA